GGTCGTATATCAGCTTATCAGCCTCTCTAGTCTGATTCACTTAAGACAAAGAAATGTTTAAAAGAGAAAGTGGTGGTGAGCCTTCTTTTTTCTTCAGCTTATAAATTCAGTCTCCCAATTTCGATTGTGGGCCTACTTTTGAATGTGAATTTAGGCCTACCTGGAACCCTTTTGTAAAGCTGGCTGGCTGAGGGACAAGCAAACCTTGATCCCACCGCTACATGGCTGATCCTCTGGACACCCCCCCCCCCTCTAAAAATTAAAAACCATTGTCCAAGACGGAAATGTTTAGGATGGAATTTTATTCTCACTACCCTACCCTTGCAGTTGCAGTCAAATTTTAATGTCTATTTTTCAAGAACCTAAGATCTAGATCTAATGTGTAAATATAAATTATGTGTTTGTCATTTTTTTGTTTTCATAGATTTTTATGCTTTTTCCCCAGCATGGTATGATGAGGGGAAAATCGGCATATTCATCCACTGGGGAGTGTTTGCTGTTCCAGGCTTTGGCAGTGAATGGTTCTGGTACAACTGGCAAGGCCAGAAACTTCTGGCTTATGTCGAGTTCATGAAAATGAACTATCGACCAGACTTCACTTACGCAGATTTTGGCCCCATGTTCAGAGCTGAATTTTACAATCCCGGACAATGGGCTGATATTTTCAAAGCTGCAGGGGCAAAGTAAGTCTTTTTTTTATCGTTGAGACCGAGCGTCTATGATGTAATTAAGATAAGATAAGATACATCTTTATTGTCCAGATCATGGCACTTTGGTTTGGTGTTCCACCACGAGTACACACACACACACACACACACACACACACAAACACACACACGTACACACGTGCACACACATGCACACACAAGTAGGCTTACAATCACATGCATAATATAAATGAGCAGCAATATAAACAATAATAATCGTAAGCTAGATACACACTCAATGTTATTTTGATGCATGCCCTGAGGTCGTAAGTACACTAAACAAGATGGTTAAGATGGAAGCATTTTGATAGATGATGGTAAAAATGACCTTCTGTACCTTTCTTTGTTACAGATCAGAAGCATGGGTCTTTTACTTCTGACTGATGTTTTTATTTGAGGGAACAAGGGATGTTTGTTGTCTAAAAAGATGGAATTAATTTTCTTAGTGCAAGCTGTTATGTACAATTCATCCAAGTAGGGGAATGAAGATGTTGAAATTTTACATGCTTTCCGTTTTAGTCGATTTAATTTTTCTTTATCTTGTTGTCTTGTGTTCCCGGCCCATCTGTTATACAAAAATTGATCATACTTTCTATGGTTGAATGGTAGAACATGGACATCAATGTTTTATCAACTTTAAAATACTTTAGCTTTCTAAATCACAACAGTACTGTGGAATTTCCTCTATGTCGTCTGCGTAAGTATTTATGACAGTCACCTGTACTAATGACCAGTTCCTACTTTCCACCTCCCCACTTGTGTTTTTTCTTCAATAATTGAGAAGTTTATCAAAAGTGTTTTCATATCTTCACTGTTTTTACAGATTGTAAAGTCTGTCCAGTCCAAAGAAAAAGGGACAAAATCCCTGAAGCATGATTTACAACCCCTTCGACACGATTTTGATAATTTAGGAGGCGGACTTTAGATGTGCCTGTCAGAGCCAACCCAGGCTGAGAGTGATGCAACATCCCAGGAGAAAGACCAAGGTGTTCGATAAAAATTTTCCTCTCCTTCAATCTAACTGAGTCTCCTGCATGCGACGGTCAAGCACCTAACTGCTACACCACAGACGCCAGTCTAATGTTTTTAAAGGATATGTGTACATTTGTAGAGCATGCTTTACTTTGCGCCGTTTAGATTCCATGAAGACTTTGACAAAATGTCTTTGATGACAACTGTTTCGTCTGTCCGCAGATATATTGTGCTGGTGACCAAGCATCACGAAGGTTTCACCAACTGGCCGTCCAAGTATTCCTTCAACTGGAATGCTGGTGACCTTGGACCGAACAGAGATCTTGTCGGTAGGCCTACATATTAGGGTCTTGTCAGCACTTTTTTCTACTCACTCTCGATAACGGAAAGTATAAAATACTGTTGACCTATAGTGCAGCCTCTCCATAACGACCTTTGATATAACGACATCCTCTGTTTAGCGACATGGTGCCCAGATCCCAGTTTTTTACTTATAATATATCTATCATTAGTAATTTTTTGTTGCCTCTCTATGACGACAACTCTCTGTTATAACGACATTTTTTCTCTGGTCCCGAGGATGTCGTTATAGAGAGGCTGCACTGTAGCTTCTTCTGCTTCTTCTATGACTGGCTTCCTCCTGAAGGCGGCAGTCTGCCGCTTACAGTCCGACATAATGTGACAACCTCTTTGGGTTTGGCCCATAGCACATCTGGTGTGGGCCAGGTATTGTCTTGCAGTAGTGGTTTGCGGTACAGGTCTCTGTGCGGGCACTCGAATAGTGTGTGTTGCATTTAAATTTGTAAGTCATCAGGGCTGACACATCTCGGGCCCTGTCGGTCATGTGGCCTAGTCCAAGACAATCACCTGTACAAAGGACCGCTTCCTGAGAACGACGCATCTGATGTGAATATACCTTTTGTCAGCTTTACTTCTCTTTTCATATTGAATTTTACTGAGAGAAATGTCGAATTTACATTTTGTATGTACACCTGCTTGTGTTTTTACCGTTCTGTACAGCCAAGAAAAATTTCACTCTAGGATAATTTAGTATTATCTTAGATCTTATCTTATCTTATCTTCCCACTTTCTCCCTTGCATTTTATTATATCATAATAACACTATTCAGCGCTGATTTGATTTGACTTTGTGTGAAATTCGTTTTTATTTGTCTCCAGGTGACCTTGCTGATGCTATACGCTCAAATACAGATATCAAATTTGGTGTTTACCATTCAATGTTTGAGTGGTTTAATCCATTGTTTTTGAAGGACCAAGCTAACGGCTTCAGGACACAGGAGTATGTCAAGGTAATTACAGGAAAACATCAGTTTTTTACAACAATGAGAGAAAATTAATAATGACCAAAAATATATGTGTATATTGAATATATAGATCAAATTTAAAAAAAAATTCTATCCATATTTTTTCTTCCCCAAAAGGACAAATAGATTTTGAGAATACTGGAATATCATGAATACTTAGGAATAGGCAATGTTGGTAATGTCCCTGGCCTCACCCACACAATGTGTGCTGTCTGTCTTACTTAATCAAGGTGTGATATATGGTGTTTGATGATCATGTGCTTAGGCAGCTGGATGTAGTCTTTCAATGTAAAAAAATGTAATTCTAGAGTATTTCTAGACCTATAGATAAAAGCATCTGCTCAAATAACTTGTCAGTCTTCATACATATTATTATTGTATTGTCTTGTAAGCCTCAGCTGTAGTTTACGTCTTGTCATTTATTGGTCAATCTAATACAATTCTTCTATCAAATAGGCTGTTTTAGTTTTAGTATCACCTCATTGTAGTAGTTCTAACCATTGTGCCATTGGAAACTATAAGGCTTAATCTGTTTTATCAGTTGGATGTGCTCAAGAAATATTTTGTTGAAATTCAATTTCTAAATGTTGAAAAATGCAAAGAAAAATTACATTTCGGTACTTGTGTTTCAAGCATGGATCAGATATTTTGTTCCTCTCTTCTGTGAAATTTTGCTTTCTAGACCGTACCTTCAAACAGCTTGCCTTCATCATGTTCCCTTTCATCGATCTTTCCTTTTGATCCTGTCCACTAGACCAAGACGTTGCCCGAGCTGTATGAGCTGGTCAACCGCTACAAGCCGGACGTGGTGTGGTCTGACGGGGAGTGGATGGCCTTGGACGAGTACTGGAACTCCCCGGAGTTCATCGCTTGGCTCTACAATGACAGGTGACCAAAGGGGGAAAGGTGGTAGCTTATTTTGTGGGATACAAAAATCGTATTAGATCAGCCAACTCACAATTCAACAAAGCATAGCTGAGTTTTATTTGTGTTTTCTGTTGTAATTTGAATTGTCCCTAGGGGAACGTAAAGTTGGCTCCCCAAAAAAGGTAAAGTTGGCTCCCCAAAAAAGCACCACAAAGACACCCTGAAGATGTTTCTGAAGGACTTCGACATAAGTCATTCAACGGAGATATTTAATGAATATTTCACTCCACTCAGGAACTGAACTAAGGTCACCCGAGTGTGACAGCGAAGCGCCTTACCGCTATACCACAGAAGCTGGTTTGTATTACTAACTAAGTTTGTTTTGTTTAGTATAGGGTTTTACGGCGCTCGCAACTGCATAGGTCATATGAGCGCGCGGGACACACCTAATACTATTTCGTTGGTAGGAAATTTTGAATTTTGCCCGGGTGGCGGCCGAAGCCTACTCTTATCGATTTTAGACCACCAAGGGATCTTTAACGTGCGCAACTTGCACACGGGCCCTCCGAGATTTTTCGCCCTTGTCCGAGAAGGCTAGGTGTAGATCTTTCCTACCAGAAGATCAGGGGTGTGGCAGAAAGACAGCAGTTAGGAGGAGCCAAGGAGTAGCAGTAGAAAGGCTGCAGAAAGAGTCAGGAGCCCAGAGGAGCGGGGCAAAGGAGGTGAGGGGGTGGGGGCAGAAAGTGGAAATGAAAGCAGACAACAGAACATTGTTAGAGATCAGGAAAGGATGTGAAAGGAGACAATTTTAGAGAAGAAAATTTTTTCGGTCGCTACCCGGAATCGAACCCGGGACCTTTGAATGAGAGGCCAACACCTTAACCTCTAGGCCACGAGAGCCCCCCTAACTAAGTTTGATGTAATAATAGTAATAATAATAATAAAAATAATATAATGATAATAATAATTGCATTTATAGAGAGCATATCCACGCTCTACAGCATGCTTATGCCTGTCACAACTTGTCGTTTTTTTAGCTCAAGGGGGCTATCCCGAAATAGGCTGTTTTGAGAAAATCGAAGGTAAAGTTTTTGGATCCTTGTTCAGTTTCTCTATAACCAAATAAATATACACACGAATGAAACCAAACTTCTTCTATTGATAGGGCAATGCCCACTTTTGGTGTAGGTCAAGATTTCTGGAAACGCCCGAAGTCTGGGTTAGCCCCCTTGTCCTTAAAAGCGACCAACTATTATTGTCATTGTCGCTTTTCTCTGTACCCTGTACTGTTGTTTGATCGTCTTTTTCTAAATTCCTTTCCCCCCTCAGCCCAGTGAAAGACACAGTGGTGGTCAACGACCGATGGGGAAACAACACACGATGCAAGCACGGAGGATTCTGGGACTGCACTGACCACTACAAGCCAGGTTTGTTACACACCTTGTTACTAGTTACAGGCCAGATACTATAGTTTGTTACACACCAGATACTGTAGTTTGTTACACACCGGATACTGTGCAACAAGTTGTCAGACTCACACTTGCATGGGGAAAATGAGTAAATACAGTCGAACTTGCCTTAGCAATCACCTCTCCATTGAGGTCACCTGTACTAACAGCCACTGTTCCGTGACACCGTTGTGTCTTTCCTACATGTTTCACCTGTCCATATCCTCAGTGTGCTTTCTGTCTGGCACACAGGTTCATAGAATTTAGCCCGCACAATGTTTTGCCGTGGAAGTAGTGTCGTTGAAAATCCTTTAGTACTCTCATAAGCTCTTTTTTAACGTAGTCTTCTTTTTCTCAATCGTATTCATATAGTCATAATTTTTCTGCTGTTAGATTATTTATTTTTACTTTCTGCAGCCTTTCTACTGCTACTCCTTGGCTCCCTCTTACCGCTGTCTTTCAGCCACTCCCCTGATCTTCTGGTAGGAAAAATCTACACTTAGCCTTCTCGGAAAAGGGCGAAAAATCTCGGAGGTCCCGTGTGCAAGTTGCGCACGTTAAAAATCCCTTGGTGGTCTAAAATCGATAAGAAGAGGCTTCGGCTGTCACACGGGCGAAATTCAAAATTTCCTACCCACTGAAAATGTTTGATGTGTCCCTCGCGCTCATATGACCTTATGCAGTTGCGAGCGCCGTAAAACACTTACCAGAAGAGGGAAAAAAAGATTGTTTTTGTGTGCTTTCTGTCTCGCACATAGCCTGATAGAATTCAGCATACAAAGTATTTTGCAATGGAAATAGGATTGCTGAAAATCTTTTTGTACTCTGATACACTATATTGTAACTTACAATCTTGCACCCACATAGCGAAATCGGCATGAGGCAGAAAAATCTTTTTGTTGTGTACAAATGTTGCTATGAATATATGAGTACATGTGTTTTCAATAGAAAGAATAGATAGACATTATGTATGAGAAAACAAATTCAGGACTTGAAAATCTGATCATGTGTTTGGCTATGTGCATGTCTGATTCACTTTGTGAGTGTTGGGTGACTTTGTAGGCCTACATGTTTCGCTATGGTCGTGGTAGACGGCAGTTTTCTTCCTCTCAATCGTTAACACTTTGCCGCCTCATCTTGCCGATTGGCAATGTTTAACACCCAGTTTCTTTGGATTTTCCCCGAAATATGATGGCAAAGTGTTGAATTAATCGGAATGTGCGTTGCATCTGTTCAGGGAAACTGGTGCCCCACAAGTGGGAGAACTGTATGACCATCGACAAATACTCGTGGGGTTATCGCCGCAACGCTCGTCTCGCTGACATCCACACCATGGAGGAACTCATTGAGCAGTTGGTCACCACCATCAGGTGAGTGTGTGGGTGTGGGTGTGTCTGTGTGTGTGTGGGTGTGGGTTATCGCCGCAACGCTCGTCTCGCTGACATCCACACCATGGAGGAACTCATTGAACAGTTGGTCACCACCATCAGGTGAGTGGGTGTGTGTGGGTGGGTGGGTGTATGTGTGTGAGTGTGTGGGTGTATGTGTGTGTGTGTGTGGGTGTGTGTGTGTGTAAGAACTCATTGAACAGTTGGGCACCACCATCAGGTGAGTGTGTGTATGTGTGTGAAAAAATTGATTGAACCTCTAGTCACCACGGTCAGGTGAGTGCTTCTGTCTTCCTCAGTATTGTTGTTTATGTCAACTTTACCATTTCTATCTGTGTGTGCTTTATGAATGTCAATGACATCATTATTACTTAATATTGCAAAGAGTGCCATCATCGAATACATAAATAATATATATATATATTATGTATGTCTACTTGACTATTTCTATCTGTGTGTATTTACTACCTAAACGCCTTCCCTTTTCCCTTGTTCCCAGCCTGGGTGGAAATCTGTTGATCAACGTGGGCCCGACGGCGTACGGGGAAATTGCTCCGATCTACGAGGAGCGGCTGAGGCAGATGGGCTCGTGGCTGGGCGTCAATGGAGAGGCCATCTACAAAACCAAGATCTGGACGTACCAGAATGACTCTGTGGCTCCAAATGTCTGGTAGGATTCAGGGTTTTCTTTTTCCTGATTAGCTGTGTTTGTTAGATGTTGTCGAAGAGTAATGGCTCGTTCATCAGTTCTGATGATGAATAATCCATCTTGTTCCTTCTGTATGTATAATTGTTCATTTTGTAGTTGGCGAGTGCTCTAGTGTGGTTTGCTCCTTCTTTCCTATCAAACATCTATCGTCCTTATCTCTCCTCCGTCTTTATTTGTGTATGTTACTCTCTTGTAACACCTCTAATCTTCTGGCGCTCATATGACCTTATGCAGTTGCGAGTGCCGTAAAACCTCTACTAAAACTTAAAAAACTTTGTTTGTTAGATATTGTCGAAAAATAATGGCTTGTTCATCAGTTCTGACGATGGCCAATCCATCTTGTTCCTTTTGTACATAGTTGTTCCTTAGGTGGTTGGCGAGTGCTCTTATGTGGTTTGCTCCTTCTTTCCTATCAAACATCTATCGTCCTTATCTCTCCTCCTTCTTTCCTATCAAACATCTATCGTCCTTATCTCTCCTCCTTCTTTTTTTGTGTATGTTACTCTCTTGTAACACCTCTGTTCTTTGGCACTTACATGACCTTATTGTGTTGCAAGTGCCGTACAACTCTTACGGAAAAAAAAAATCTCTTGTAACACATCTATTCTTCGGCACTTATATGACCTTATTGTGTTGCAAGTGCCGTAAAACTCTTACGGAAAAAAAACCTCTTGTAACACATCTATTCTTCGGCACTTATATGACCCTATTCTGTTGCAAGTACTGTAAAACTCTTATGAAAAAAGAAAAGTTCTTTCTGCCCATCTTCTTCCTTCAGTACATATTGTTCCTTATCTCCATCTGTTGCCAGGTACACCTCTGGTCAGACAAACAGCTCAGAGCCCGCCGTGTACGCCATCTTGCTAAGTTGGCCGACCAGCAACTCTCTCAGGCTAGGGAGCCCTGTGGCATCGGCCGACACCCAAGTCTCTCTGCTGGGCTACCCGGGACAGTTCCAGTTCAAACCGGTCCCCGGTGGCGGCCTGGACATCTCGATCCCATCCATCCCCACCAGCAGCATGCCCTGTGAGTGGGGCTGGGTCCTCAGACTGACCGCGCTCAAGAATCAGGAGACCAAGATTGACCCCGCGGCTTTTGCAAAGTCTGTGCAGTCGATCCGCATGAGGAAGGAAGAACCCGTGACCCCCAAGTAGACGTCTTTTGTGACAGCTCCGGTAGAGTCTGCGTAAACTGAGTGCAGTTTATTGGAAAACGGAAAGAAAAAAGAATCTTCGATTGTTTTTTTTTTTTTTTTTTTTTTTGGAGGGGGTTCTTTTTTCACTATTTGAGCTGTCTCTCTACTCTCTAAACTGAAAACCTAGCTAAACCATAGAAAATCTGGCAGTCCTGCCAGATATCAGTTTTCGTGGACTTCACTGTTGTGTTTCTGAGACTCACAATACCAGAAGTAAGCTGCAAAGTTACCTCAAGCGTTAAAGTTCTGTACATATTTCCACACTGTATAGCCTTTTCATCTTTTACTAGCACACATTTCATGCATTGAAAATGTTTCATGTCTTTCAGAATATGGTATAAGTAGGGGCCTACCTAATGCTGATTTTAGGTTCTATTTTCACCAACTTGACTTTATTAGGAATGGCTCTGCGATAGTATTTCACTGTTCAGCTACACAACTTACTATTCATTTCGCCAAGTTTTATTGAGCATTTTGTCAAAGATGTAATAATACGTCAAATGAAACTGATTCCATCATTTAGTAACTTTTGCCAGAAAGTTCAATGAGTTACGGCATTCTAGCAACAGTGTTGTCTGTTGATTTCCCAGCAGAAATACCCTACAGCAGTGCTGTGTGGATTCCGTGGCAGAAAACTCCGTCTTCGTTAATTGAGAGATAGGAAGTCCCTGAACAACAAGACATTTTCAATAGCCTGATGTCAAAATGAGCTTGAATTTGAATGTCTGCTGGAATTTATTTTACCGTAGAACTCGAGACAAATAGCTCCGTAAGCACTATTACATGTATTGGTTGTATTGTCGAAAAAAAATTATTCAAAAAGAGATTATCTCATTGTTTTTATCTGGACAGGCATGTTCTGATAACTGTAGATTCATTGTGAACTTTTGTACGCCTACAGTACAGCTATCTAAATGAAGGTTTTGTCTCATTTCCTTGGCTTTGTATATTTCAACGCTTTCTAAATGTTTATCATATTGTCTGTCTGGTTAGAAATGTTTGCAGTAGCAATTGGAGAGCCTGCCTGTTTGTCACTTCATATATAGCGAGGAACTGTCATGTTTGAAGTGTTTCAATTTGATGGCTTTCAGAAATTCAAATTCTTCAGAAATACCATAAATTTGTTACTGAAATTAAAAGTTTTACGACAGAATATGATGTCAGTCAATATGAAATTGTTAAAATGAAAAAATAATCATAATTGAAGTTATGTAATTTTAAGTTTATGGTGAGTAAATCTTTTGGTGAAACTTTTCTGTAAATTGTGTTGATCAAGGTTTTTTTTAAAAAGCTGATTTTTAAGACAAAGATCACTGTACAGTTTTTTGTTTTCTGGATTGTGGGAAGAGAAGTCCACTATGTCTGCTGTGCATAGTTTTAGAATCAGCTTCTGTGTGTTGATGAATATCGTGGCTGGCCTGAAATATTGCTGGTATTGCTGAATATTTGATGGTGTTTTGTCTCAACTCAAACTTTGTCTTGCCATCCCTGTACTGTATTTTCTAAACAAAATGTTTACCGAGTTTTTAAGTTACAGTTTTATCAATACCTCAGTGGTAATAGAGTGAATGTACTATGTGGCATTTGCTTCATGAGAGTGACGGATTATTTGTGCTCAAGTGTTTTATGCTTCTTTGGGGAAAGAAAAAAGACAGAAAGATAATAAAGTTAGTGAGCTGATTAATATGTGACCTGCAAATATTATTTGAGTTATGTATGTTTACGTATGCAGCGAGTTGGCAAAATCTGAATAAAAAATTTGTTTGCATTCCATTTTTCACTTTTAGCTTGTGTTAATGTTTTTACATGGGTGCATTGCTTGGTCAGTGGTGACTTAATTTCCTGAATGGAAGCGTTTTCGTTCTGAATGTTTTCTGAAAGAATTGTTTTATGACAGTTTTCCTCAAGCTGTCCTCACCATTGGGTCACCGATGAGTCCACATTTTACTCATTGAGCGTTTAGCTCACTGTCTGTTTTTGTGTTTTGAGGGTGATCTATCTTTTGTTTCTCCGGCGTGGGTTGTTGGAGGGTGCTAAGGTGTGGTTTGCTTCTTGTTTCCTATGAAACATCTATCGTCCTTATCACTCCTTCTTTTTTGTGTGTGTAACTCTCTTGTAACACTTCTAATCTTCGGCACTTATATGACCATATTGTGTTACAAGTGCCGTAAAACACTTACTAAAACTAAAACTAAACTAAGATCCATCTTTTGTTTCTCCGGCCTCTCAGGATAGTACAGGGAACTGATTTTGTACAGATGAAGCTTTTATTACTTTTATGTGCGGTTTTATTTTTACCCTGCCCATTTTTTTGTGTCACTTTTATGTTTAATAGTCCCAACAAAATGGGCAGCGGTTTAACTGTTAGTTTACTGTTGGTGGAAACAAACAGGAGAACTGCTGTTTACCCTCTGAGTTCTTTTTTCGTTATCTTTCCCCCCTCATTGTAATGTTGCTTCATTCTTCATTCACTATTACAATGATGAGTAAATGACTCATGCAGGCATAACGATGGACTCAGCTGGAAGTGGTCACAAGCTTCTGTATTGTAATTTTTCCCGTTGGTTTATTGTCTCTCAATGTAGACAGCTTTTTATGAGTGAGAATAACACAGCTGAGATGGACAGTTTTAGATTTTTACTGTTTATACTTATACACATAGATACACCACATATGCAAGTCCATTTGTCTTTTTCCATTTTTATATTGTGTGTATGGTGAAAAAGTAATGTATGGTTCGCCCTGTGTAAAGTAATCCCTTTGATTTAAGCTTACTGTTTGTGGGCAGAAAGGCACCCGCTGAAAAGTCACTGGATGGACAACAACAGCAACAACATAATTTAGTGAAAGGAGCCTCCACACTAGTTAAGAACTTGTCATTTCTACAGCTGGAGTGTCTCTTTTTCTACATTTAGTACAAACAACACACTTTATGGAGAACTTGCATTAAAATTCAGCTTTTGCAATTTAAAAAATTATGAACTAAAATAAACTCTGTATACATGATGTACGACATATATACTGTTTGATGTGAAAGTGGCAACAGTCCACGGTTTTATCAAATAAATGTCATTGAGTTTGGAAAAGACTGTGTTTATTGTGTTTTTTTGTTGCCTTACAAAGCAAGTGTCTTTTTCCAAGTCTCTGTCCTTATGTCCTTGATTAATAAAAACCAATCACAGTTGAGACTATTCAAGATGACCACCCATTGTTGGAGAGAACAGTTATCAGGAATCCAAGAACGTTTCCGAGTGTTCTAGGGTCTGCTAGGGTAATAATATAGATTGTAAAGTTCGTAGAGTTTGCTGTTGAGAAGGGATATTAGGTGCTATACAAATGCTGTTTATTTATCATTTGAAAACCATCCATGTTGACGTATGTTGATCACATTATTGAAAACCCTACAGTGTTTTGAGTTAGTTTTAGTAAGTTTTTACAGTGCTCGCAACTGCATAAGGTTATATGAGCGCTAAGGGGTGGGTGCCAACAGAGAAGTCCAAATGGAGAATCAGGTTTACTCTGCCCTCGTCTCTAGTTTCAACAGCACAAAGTCTGCTTCGACTATCAAGGCACCCCGGAGAAAGCAGTTCACAAGAGAGTGACAAACATACAAAAGAAATAGAGGAAAATGATGATAGTATTGATAGTAAGGATGAGGACAGACAAAGCAGCAGTTCCCCCTATGCCTACTGAAGAATCTTAATTGTGGTTGATGAGGGCGTTCAGAAAAAAAATTATACTCCCCCCTAAATTTACATTTTTGATTTTGTCTCTCAGGCTATTTATATAATATATAGATCTACCTCACATTGCAACGTGTTTAATTAGCTAAGGTAACGTCACAAAATAATGTTAGACTTTGTAATTATTGAGATCCTGACTATATTTTCAGAGTCATAATTTTATCATAGGTTGCGCTTTCAGTGAAATACATAGGCCTACTTTTTAAATGAATTATTATTAATTTTTAAAAATAAAATGTAGGACTTTCTCTATTCTACTATTCTGGCAGCCCAACAATGATCTGGCCCGTTTGTCCTTTTCTTTAAAATTAAACAATTTACAATTTACATTTTTGTCTCTCAAGCCTATTGTATACTATGAGAATCACAATTTTATTTAAAGCTTTCATTGAAATAATGTTCACTAGAAAATGTAGGCTAGTCCTACAGGACTTTTTTTCTCTAGCAGCCCAACGATGATCTGGCTCGTTTATTGGTGCTAATTTGGCAACCGGAAGTACTTCTGATACTCTCTTTCTTGACTTTCTTTCTCTCTCTCTCTCAGCTGTTGTTGGTTTCAATTTCGGTCAATACCGTTGTCCACTTCCCCCAATCCCACTACTTTTGGACTCAGAATCTCCCAAAATCGGAATTTGTAGCGAAATATGACCTCTCATCAACCTAAGCAAAGAATAAATATGTCTCATGGATTCATGAAGTCTGTTATCAGAAATCAAATCGACAGGTATGTGAAGCGTTTCGAGTGAAGTGTTTGTTTACGGTCTCCTGCGTGGTCATTGTTTACATTACAAAATTACATTGACCTGGCTAGAGGCTATAATATAAATTCTAGATCTAAGAAGACTGACCAGTCTCCCAGAGAATAGTTTAGTCATAGTAGATCTAGATCTAGATCTAGATCTAAGTAGAAACAAGACTCACCAAAGTATTTATTTCGTCTTAGTCTTGCATTCTTGTTTCGGTATTTTTTACACTTTTTACTCATGGACCCATCCCAAGCTTAGTCTTAGTAACTAGATCTAGATCTAGTAGACTACTGTGCTATTCTAAAGCGCTTTTCTTGTTCATCTTATCTGCTTTACTTTACAAAAATTTGAACTTTATTTAGATCTAGATCTAAATCCTTTGCAAATTATTGGTTTATTTATGAGATTATGGATATTTTTATAGAAACTAGATCTATGGATGGTAGTACCAGGAGTTCCTTTACTGGGCTGGGTACCGGTACCTACCATCCCGGCACTCCTGTACAATTGTGGACCTGTTTGGGAATACTCTAGTTTTGACCCCACCGACGATTAGATTACTTCTTCTGGTTCTAAACGATTACTTTTTGATGCACCTGCCGATATGGAGAGATAGCCTATTGAACCTAATTGCAAAACATCAAGTCCTTGTCGAATTCAGGGGAGCATGCCCCCCTGAAACCCTCCATGTTTTTTTTTTTTCAGAGTGTCTACGTACGCAGTAACCGGGCACCTAGTCTCAGTATCTACGTACACGGTAACTGGAATGAAAAAAATCAATATTTGTCCTGTTCTGTCACTTGTGGGAAAAAAAGAAAGTCATACAAGCGTCTTGTCGGGCTCGCCATCGTGACGGGTCAGTGAACCTATAAGATGCATTGGCATCACATCGTGAGTGCCGGTGATTGCTGGGGTCTCCGAAGTTCGTTCAAAGTCTGTGCGCTGTGAAGTATAGGCTCCAGAATGGGGGGGATTATTGATTTTTTTTAAAGGTACTGTCGGGGGAGACGTGGGGTTCAAGGCAACACCAGATGACAAGACTGAACTTGGGAGAACTGCCCGGTTACCGTGTACGTGACACTGAGACTACATGCCCAGTTGCCGTGCACGTAGGAAGACACTGAGGCTAGATGCCCGGTTACCGTGTACATAGTGGCTCCGGGTTTTTTTTAGGTCAGCTTGCCCCCTGAAACCCCCCTTGCCTTGTCAAAAACAAGTGAAATTTTATTGCTCATTTTGTAGGCTAGATCTACTGATAAAACAAAACATTGATACCGACTATTCGAATTTGTATCGATATCCAGTATTTTGTGCTAGGCCTTGTGTGATTTTTTAGTGCAAACGGGACCACAATTGTACACCTGAGTGCCACCCAGCCCTAATCACCTGCCTAAGCTAATGGCATGGATGGCTCTCTCTGTTCTGTTCTACAACATTATATAACAAAAAAAGAAATCTGAAAGGTCTGTGAAAATCAAAGACACAGAAGAGTTCAATCATCGTAGATTTATCCCCGTGTGTTTTCTTGTTCAGCCCTAAAAATGTAGTGGACATGTGTGAAAACAATTACCATAAAAACAGCCTTGTTACTGTTCCAGGGATAACTATGATAAAGAAGTAAAAGCCAAGCAAGAACAAGTACAAGGGAAGCCGCGGGGACGAGGCTCGGGGAACAGGTCGAAGAAACCCGAGATTCAGACCTACGTCCCCCCTCAGAGATCAAAGAAAGGTGAGTACATGACACTGGCTACTCATTGTTGTCTGTCAGACACAGCTGGGTCCACCTAAATGAAACATGCTTAATTGAAAAGCAGAGACCCAAAACTTTTTTTTTTAAAGTTAAAGGCCCATTTTTTTTCTTTTCTATTTTAACAACTTATCTAGAGCGAAGAACATTTGATGGTCCCGTTGATTTCGGTACAGTCAGGTGGACTCCACTGTATATCACATATCCTGTAGCCTCATTGCTTTTCCTCGGAAGTAATGTAGAACTTGTAAGGGATAATGAAAGTTATGCTCAGTGTACGCCTTTCCCCTACAAATGGTTGCTTTTAAGCACAAGGGGGCTATCCGGAAAAATGCTGTTATGAGGAAATTGAAGGTAAAGTTTTTGGACCCATGAAATCTCTTTAAAAGACAAGGAGGGTTTTCTCTATAACAGACAAATGTACACACCAATGAAACCAAACTTCTCCTACAGGTAGGGCAATGCCCACTTTTGGTGTAGGTCAAGATTTCTAGATATCGGTACCCCCGAAATCTTGGTTAGCCTGCTTGTCCTTAAAAGTGACCAAATACAGAGGAACTTGAATGACCACCCGTCCCAGACAATTTTCTACCACCACTGTCCGCTTCTCTTCTTGTGGGGTTTTGTTTTTTTTCTATTACAATGTCTCTGTCCAGGACATCCATCTGTCTTAGAATATATATATATTAATATATTATATATATATATACTTTTGTTCTTGACAGTGGGTGGCCTTCTTGAACAATTCTGACTGTACTTACATTCTCACAGAAATACAAATTGTGTGTTGATAGAAATGCTGATGAAGGATATAAATGACATTTTATGCGTATTTTTTAACTTAAAAGTGAACGTTTGAACATTTCACTCTTTTTGTTTATCTTAACAGACCCGCAGGAAAATTTATTCACGGTGGAGTATGAGCACAAAACTGGAGAGATCCACAAAGTGAGCATGTCCAAGGTAAGTGTGACTTTCTGTGGGGGTGTGTGTTGATTGCTTTGGTTGTGTGCCCTGCTGCTTTAACCCTATCCGTACGTCTTGTTTTACTATCGTGTCCATAAGACGTGGAGAACTCTGTGCGACCACTTAACCCTATCTGCTCGTCGTGTTTTACTTATCGTATCCATACGACGTGGAGAACTCTGTGCCACCACTTAACCCTATCCGTACGTCGTGTTTTACTGTCGTATCCGTACGACGTGGAGAACTCTGTGATCCCTCTTTCAAAGAGGAAATTTACTCGTTAATCCGATCCGTACGCTTTGCATAGAATATGATAGAAGTCTGTCAAAAAGTTTCTAAGAGATCTTCGTACTAGAGGTAATTCTAAAATGTGAAGAGTTCAACCCTGGGGGTACAAAATGACCCCAGGGCGTACATATAGGGTTAATGGGGCAGTCTCTGGTTGTGTGCCTTGTTTCTATTGCTTTTGTTTAGCAAAATATGTATTGGCTTTAGAATGAAAACTGTTGAAAACTAACAGTTTTATTTTGTCAAGATGATGTAGATCTATGCCTATGAGTCATTTTCAAAAATAAAAATGTTTTTGGGGGGGTTTTTTCGTTGTTTTTTTTTTATGAACGTTATTGAAAAACTTAGACATAGTATTGATAAAAAATGAATCAACTATTCATAGACATAAGTGTGAAATTTCTGAGCTTAATTCAATCAAATTGGAGCGTACAAGCTATTTTTGTGTCAATTTCTGAGAAAATGTTCTCTCCTGTTTCTAACAGAGAAGGCATAGAGCGGTGAAACTAGAAAGAGTCTTGTGGGTGAAATGCATGGTTATGTTTGTGAAACTAGGTCAATTCATTTGGGAAATAATCTGTCCGCGTCTTTTTATGCAAGAAAAATTATGAAATTATGCAAAATGAGCCCAAAAATGTGAAATTATGCAATTCAGTTAATTTTAACAAAGAATGATAATGGAAAATAATAAGAAATTATGCAAAAATTGATCAAATTTTGCTAAATTATGCAGGGCGCATAAAACCACGGAGACAGAATAATGAAAAACACCTCAAGTTTTAGAATTCATAGGAAACAATTTCGGATTAAAATGTTAAATTAAAAATCTTTGCAAATGTTAGACCTTCCGTTTGTGATTCTCACTCCCAGGTCAAACACATTCTGATCATATCAATCTCTATTCTATTTAGCAGTAAGGTGAAGCTAATCACATGCTTAATTTTTCAAAAAGAATTTCTAGAATTTTTTTAAGGAATGTAAAGAGGGGCGGTAACAGGAGGGAACAGGGGTAACAGGATGGAACGCAAGATAATGTTATCAAAGTTAACAGCAAATTATCATGAAAAACAAAACACTTGTGAACCTACATTTTTATAATAACTGAAACAATTATTATTATCGTGGGCCCCTCATATAACAGTCACAATTTTGACAGTTTTCACTGTTGCCAGCTTACAATAAATCCCAGAGTCCCATCTCTTACAATGTATACGGTAGTTTTTAAAAATATAGCAAACATTCGAACAGACATACTCGGCTCTAACACATCCAACTATCGACAGACTCCTATAGCAAACAACGGTTAAGACAGCAGAAAAATGTTTTCTTCCAACACGGTGAATTGCTTCTGTGTGACCCACAGTGGGTCTTCATAGTTGTTTGTGTTGACATGAATTGAATTTATGATGTGTCGTCATATACCATGTGTGCAGGGGAAGGAAGGGGAAAGGTGGATGCACTTTGGTGTTGATGCAAATCCAGTCAATTATTTAACCCCTTACGCCCTGGGGTCATTTTGTACCCCCGGGGTTGTATTCTTTACATTTTAGAATACTTCTAGTACGAAGATCTCTTTGATACTTTCAGTGTATCTCAAAAAATCATTTTGGCAGACTGCTGCTATGCAAAGCATACGGATAGGATTAATGAGTGAATTTCCTCTTTGGAAGCGGTAGCACAGAGTTCCCCACGTCGTATGGATATATGATAGTAAAACACGGCGTACGGATAGGGTTAATGAAAGTTAATGTGGCCTTTGTCTGGCACCACATGGTGTCCCCGTGGGGTGGTAAAACTTTTAACATGAAAAATAGAACTGAGTGAAAAGTAGGCAGTGGGAGCTAGATCTACCCCATGTCTGTGTGTGGTCCTCTTGATAACTGCAAGAAGATGTGCTAGCTACATAGAAGTGCAATTATTATTGTTACCTCTGCATCATCACTAACGTTTAGTCAACCCCCATTAGACTGAGAATAAGGAGGATTAAGATGAGGAGCAAAAATTATCTTTCTTCTTCTATCCCGTGGTTGGGGCAACCGTGGGGGCACCACTGCATCTGACAACCAGCTCTCGCCATTTCTCTTTGTCCTAACCGGAAAAAAGAATTGCAATAACTGATAAATCAGTGGTAAGTTACCAATGCTAGATCTAGTACATAAGAAAAATGATCCCATGTTTTAGCCTTTACATTTGTAGTAACATTGTATGTGAACATGAGTATAACAGGAGTATGACGTTGGCTGTTGGTCCTGACGGACCTGTTATAGCCGAGTCGCATTGTACTCAAGAATTGATGAAAACTACATGAACTTTGAGAATACCACATCATCATCATCAATATCGTCAAATCATCATCATCATCAATATCGTCAAATCATCATCATCATCAATATCGTCAAATCATCATCATCGTTGTAAACAGCCAGCAAGGAATAAAAAAGGGTTGAGACTTTTAGAATTTCCAAGAAAATTTTATAAAGGTTCAATGTTTCGCCGGATCAAGGGCTTCATCAGGAACATTTTAAAAAATCATGTTAGGTCTAACGGCTATACTAGCTATAGTAACCAAAGTGCGCGCATCAGCGTCACAATGCCAAAAGGTGTAATAAACGCAAACCGGGAAGACTAGAGAAAGGGGAACGCTATGGCAAGAAGTCATATAAAATATTATGTACATCAAATCATATATTATCATTAATTTTAATATAACGATAATAAGTAGTAGTAGTAGTAGTAGTGGAAGTCGCAGTTGTAGTAGTAGTGAAAGTCGCAGTAGTAGTAGTAGTAACAGTAGGGGAAGTCGCAGTAGTCAGTAGTAGTAGTAGTGGTATATGTCTACATGAGGAAAAGAACTTTTAAAGCTTTAAATTCCACACAAGTAGGAAAATTATGCCTGCTCAAAACGAGCTCAAAGCCAAGGTAGAAAAGCACAAGTTAACTCAGTCCGTATTTCTTCCTCCCTTCATCCTCATCAATATCATCAAATATTCATCATCATCATCGATAAGTTCACTGTTGTAGGTAACAGGGAATAAAAAAAGGGGTTGAGACTTAATAGATTTTTCAAATTTAATATGGGTTCAACGTTTCGCACCGTAATTTGTAAAGGGCTTCTTTATCATCGATGAGATCATAATCATCATCAAAAATGAATTACATCCCTAGGCCTGTCATTTTACATCCCTGTCATTCTTCCATTATCATTTTTAAAAGGCGACATGTGATGGTTCAAGTGGACAAAACTACTGTTGTTTGTTACAGAATTCTGCTAAAGAAAACGAAAAAAACTCAACAAAAAACAACAACAAAACCTGCGTGCTAGCTGTGCACCTCTCTCTGATTAGTAAGACTGTATATTTAAAAAACAACAACGGTACTTGTCGATGCTAACTTCAGACCAGAATTAACTCTTTACATTTGTTTGAATGGAACGAGGGTGACAAAGTGATTTGGCAGCCAATAATATTGCGTCGATTCTTTGTTCTAGTTGAGGTCCACATTATGAATGCTATTTCCAGGGATGCCACTCAACTTTTTTTAAAACAGCTGAAATTTCATGTGCCACGGTCTCGCTATTACTATTATATGAATATCAATTTGCATTGTGTATATTATTTTATGCTCATTTCGTGACGATGTGTAAGCGTGTGCGTGTGATAAGCAAGTAGATGTGTGTGTGTGTGTGTGTGTGTGTGTGTGTGTGTGTGTGTGTGTGTGTGTTTGGCATACATGTGTGCGTGTTATGTGTTCGTGAGTGTGTATGTATGTGTTTGTGTGTGTATGTGTATATGTGTGTGTTTGTGTGTGTGTATGTGTATATGTGTGTGTTTGTGTGTGTGTATTGTGCGTGTGTGTAGCGTGCGTGAATATTATTCGTACATGCATTTATGTAAGGCGCCTAGAGCTGTGTTTACACGGGAGTGGGCGCTATAGAAATGATCTTCATTATTATTATTATTAATTTGAAACCCAAATCTTCCGGGGTATTTTTCTCCCCGTTATTTCAACTTATGGCGAAGTCTTCGTTTTTCCGTTATTTCAACATTTGGTGCAAGTTGTGTGTGTGTGTGTGTGTGTGTGTGTGTGTGTGTGTGTGTGTGTGTGTGTGTGTGTTTGTTTGTTGGGTTTTTTTGTTACTAACTATAGATTCTATCTCGATCTCAATAACGGAATAGCGGATAGGATCAAAATACTGGAAAAAAGCGGAAAAGTGTCATCCCTGTATTTCGTAAGCACTTTTCACTCTTGGTTCGATCAATCTATGAAGGGGTTTGCGGACCAACACATTCCCCATTTGTGGGTGCACTGAAAATATTTGCATTTGAAGTACACTCGACAAAGCAAAAGTTTGCAAAATGCCCGTAACATAAATGACTTGGACTTTGTCAGACCTAAGACTTCTTCGTCATAAATCTTTCTAACATTGAAATATGCTCCTGGACAAAATTTGTCAGAATACATTGCATAAGCGTTACCCAGCTCATTACTAGAGGTCATCTGAGTGAAAGCCGTACACAAATGTTTTTCATCTGTATAATAAGCTGCATAAAATTAAAGTTCATGCAGGATGTTCAGTTCATGCAGGATGTTCAGTTCATGTAGGATGTTCAGTTCATGTAGGATGTTCAGTTCATGTAGGATGTTCAGTTCATGTAGGACGTCTGATCCAAAAGCGAACATTGCGTCACTTCCAGGCAAACAATCGCCAT